GTTCTAATCCAAATGCAAGATTCAAGGTGTATTTAAGTTCAGTCAAATAAAGGGATGTTTTGAAGACTGTCAATAGTTCGGAGATGAAATTAATAATTCGCGTCAAATTTATAGACATTTTCGATACTTCTCTCATATATATTTGTTTGAAAAATAGAAAATGATCACTTAATCATAATTAATTATATATTTTTCATTTCATTAAATCAATAAATTATAGTAACTTGAACTGATTTGATGTAAACATCTGATGTGAATAAGTATTTATCCAACTATTTGTGATGATAAGTATCGATTTAGTGTGAGATAAGTGTGTGTATCTATTAGTAAAAATTAGTGGATATGGATATAATGCATCTAATGTTCATAACTCACGCCCATTGATATAAGACATTTTTTGTGCTTTTAGTAAAATGAATTAATTGGATTAATATGAGTTTAGATGCCGCCAAGGCAACAATTAAGATAAGACATGCCAGAGTTTTATGCTTATCTAACACCAAAAACACACTTATCTTTTAATTAATTGAGTCATGTGTCAACTAGTAGAGTTCAATAAACTGAGGGGTGTAATCCATTGACCTATATTAATATTCATATAAAATGAGCATTGAATATTAAATTTTATGTATTTACGATGGTTTAGAAGCACTCGGCTAAATGAGTATTTTTTACTGAGAGTGGACAAGAAATTTCATTTATAATGAATTTGGGATTTTCATTGCATAAATTTACTGATAAATGAAGTCATAGTCACAAAAATGTAGGAGTAAAAAATGATCTTTTGTATAAAATCCTATCTAGGTCGTCTCAACAAGATTAAGGGCCTAAAGTCAAATCTTATTAAGTGGTCTTAATTTTTTTTTCTAGGTCACATATATAAATTAAATGGCAATAACAACAATAACATACCCTATGTAATCCTACAAGTGAGTCTGCAAAGGGTAGGATGTACACAGACCTTACGATGCAAAAAGGTGAAACAATGCAAATTTTCAATTAAAAAAATATAAAGTTAGAATAATAAATTTTGGTTGAAGAATTTAAAAAATTGATATAGCAATATTGAAATAGTATTGCGCTAAATCTGATAAGTTGATATAATGATATCGAAATAGCATTGCACTAAAATCTGATAAGTTGATATAATGATATTGAAATAGTGTTGTTTGCTTCAATATAATGATAACTTGTTGCACTGCTTGAAATTTGAAGAAGACATCAAAAGGTAAATTTGATCTTTTTGAAAACAGACAACAATAGATTTGCATAATCAAAAATATTTAACCTTTAGGAGACTTCAGAGTATTCAATAATAAGATAATTGCTCATGATGGTAACCACCCGTCACTTCCAACCCTAAAGTTGTGAGTTCGAATCACCAAGGGAGACGAGAGTAAAAAGAGTGAGATCTAACAAAATATAAATAAGACAACAAAATAGATAGCCACATAAGAACGTACGGATACAACAATACCTAAAAATCATTTCATTTCTCAATTATTATAATTATCCCCATGTTAAATAAGGTAAAAATATATTATAGTTTCTACACAAAAGATTCTTTACAAATTTTCTACCCATATATATGTATATATATTAGAGCAAGTAATGGTTGTTGATTCCCGTTAATTTTATATTGTTATCAATCGCATGCAATGAATATGTTTACTTGGTGTACACATGTGATTTGTATTAATTGTAATTGTGATTGTGATTGTGATTATGATGTGTGATTGATTGTTGGTTCGGATACCACGTCTAGTACATACTAAGGTTTGACTCGGATACCACACGTTGTACATAATATCCCTCGGTTGTCTCGATTACCATGTGTGGTACAAACTTGATTGGCTAGGGTACCACACATGGCACAGTATATATATATATATATATATATATATATATATATATATATAGATAGATAGATATACACCATGCCGATATATACTAACGGTTGGCTTGTGTACCACGCCTAGTACATTGAATATTTGTGTGTGGATTTCATGAGTGAATTGAATTTACTTTTCGTAATGTGACTATTGCATGTTGATCTATGAGTAGTCATATTGGTGTAATTAAGGGTTGGGGTGGCTCTTGTGTGGGCCGATAATGCATGTGAGATACCATAAGCGATATTTCAGGAATCCCTAGGGTGGTCTGAGTTAACCAAGCTAGTATTAAACCATGTGTAGGTTAAGATATATAGTTAGTTGGCGGATTTGAGATTAGGAATGGAGTTAGCAGAGGAATTTTGTTGTTGGTAGAATGAGTGGGTCGAGAAGTCTCTATGTGATAGAAGGATTAGGTTATGATCTGATAAGAGGATGGAATGTCCTAGATAATGGAGTCGGCATCATAGGGAGGTGAGGTGACTTGAGATGGAATGAGTCAATCCAAAGGTGGTGGTATCCAGCAGTAAGGGTGGTGGCTAAAGGATCATGGGTGTATTTTAGTATATCTCCAAGTTTCATATTTCTTTGATTATTTGTATGATATTATGTGGTGAATTTGGGATCGACCGATGATGCTTACTAGTATATGTTGTTTATACTGATACTACTCTTGCTATGCTACTTGGCATAATTAGGTTGCAGGATCAGTTATGTTTCTTAGGTGAAGACGAAGATGATCTCCGACAACTTCTACCTCTCCTTTCTTATGGCCAGAGTTATATCTTATTATTTTCGAATTTTGTTATCTCCTAGAGCTCTTGTACCTATTTAGACAAGTTCTATGGAAGGGTTCAGAATATTTTTACAAAGGTACTTTATTTTAACTAACTTTGGGCATTTCGGTAATTAATTAAGGTGTTTAGCTTACATTTTACTCACTTCCACATTTTATGTTTGAGCTTTCAAGGAACGATTCTCCTATCTAGATGTTGGAGTAGGTATCCTTACGGCCCAATGAGCTGGATAGTAATACACTCCCACTAAGATAAATATTTAATCACTCATGGAATGTTCTATAAATTATTCAATATACATATGAAATTAATTCTACATGATACAAATAAATATGAAAAGGTTAGAAACATAAAAAAAAAAAAATCTACATGATACAACTCACTTCGTTATATAGTGGCTCAAAAAAAAAAGCTCGTTATGAAAAGATAGGAATGAGTTCCACGAAAGTGCTTTCAAGTCGCAGAGTTAGACAAATATTGGTCTAAGAATGTGATGCATATAATCTATGTAACTTAGGAATCAAATATTCGTTTGTAAGAGGCTAAGAGCTATATTAAAGAGAATCTCAATAGCTAATCAAAATATAAGAGGTTAAACAAATTAAAAGGTCAAAATTTGTTGCATCATTTTAGAATCTTATAATGTATCATATCAAAGTGTATGAGAGCATTTTAAAGAGGTTCAAACATATGTAATTGTGTTAGAATACATGGTTTTATATTACAATATTATTTTACTTGTGGTAAGTTATGATTAAATTATACGAGCTTATAAACGTTTTATTCGTACTAATTACCTTAAAATTTTAAATATAAGTGTTGAATTTTTTTTGGTACATTAATATAAATTAGACAATATATATTTTTACATTGTTATAACTTATAGTGGAAGGTCTTTTACTAAGCATGACTATAAATAAAATATATATACATATTTGAACAAGAGCAAATTTTAAAAATATACAAATACAATAAAAAAAATTACCTTATAAATTACGATCACTTCACATATGAACTTACTAAGAGATTCCATCAAAGACTGACACAGAATTTTTTTAAAAAATAATTCAAGAATATAATTCTAATTAGGAAAAGTATTGAATGTGTAATTATGATATTTACAAAGAAAAAGAAAAAGAAAAGAAAACCCAATTAATATTATGTGATTTGGTCAAATCCTTTTGGACAAACAAAAACAAAGAAGGAAATTCAATTAATATTACATGATCTGGTCAAATCCTTTTGGAAAAGGAAGTCACACAAAATATTTTTTACTTTTTATGTTATTTGAATTCATTTCTACAAAATAATGTGATGATTTTATCACTATAAATATATCCTTGATATTGAGATCAAATATCACATTTTCTTATTTTCTCAAATTAAAAACTCAGTTACGCTAGAATTAATTCTTCAATCAAGAATGAAGTTTCTAACCATGGAAAAGAGCTACAAGCAATGTTGATAGAAGGTTCAACTAAAAAATTCCTTCTTCAATTACAAAAATTCAGGAAAAAATTGAAATCTAAACTAAAAGAGTGACACTCAATTAAAAGGAGTGTGGTGTTTCATTCTCTGATAGCACCCTTGGAGGTGTCTTCGGTTCCTTGGGGCTAGAGAAAATCCTCCTCCTGATTTGGATGTTGGGTCATCAAATTTCGTTAAATTTGTTATATCTATTATTTCAATTTTATTTTAGTATGTTTATTATGAAATGAAAATTTATGACAAATTTAACGGGATCTATATGATCCAACATTAGAAGTAGGCGAAGGATTTTCCCTGTCCCCAAAAGGAGACAAGACACCTCCAAGAAAGCTATTAGAGAATGCAACACCACACTCCTTGTTGATTGAGTGTCACTCTTTTAGCTTCCCTTAATTTGGCTTTCAAGATTTTCTTGAATTCTTGAAGTTGGAAGAAGGCTAGATTAGAGAAAATGGTTAAATACACCCTCAATCTATAACCGGATTCTCAACTATACACTTATATTTTATAGGGGTCCTATTACCCTCTTGAATTATTTTAAAGTAGTATAAATGCACCCTTAAGTGCTGACATGGTACAAAGAGTGTGCTCACACTCTTTTTTTTTCTTTTTTTTTTTTTTTTTTTTTTTTGGTTAACTTTTTGGTCCCTTGGGCTCACACTCTTGAAGGCATGTGAAAGTTGAAAAAACTAATAAAAAGAAATTTTAAAAATATTTCGACTTTTTTTTTTTTACATATAATTTTTTTTTTTTTTAACCTGCCACATTTTGCATAACTAATTGAACATCCAAACAAAAAAAAAGAAAAAAAGAATCTTGACTATACTCGAATTATGTGTATTATTGTTTTACTTCTACCATACTACTTCAGACATAAAGGAGAGGTTCTGCACTAATCTGCATCATAGGGTCTTCGTGATGCACTTCGTTAGTTATGTAGCATTGCTCTTTCTCTCTCTTTCAATTCTGGTTGTGGATCTTCTTTACCCCACAAAAGCAAGTACAGTCCAATAATGATAATTACTGCTCCAATGATGCTGCCCGTGTAGAGCTTTTCACCAAGGACGAAATATGCTAGAACTGCAACTAATACGGTTGAGAGTGGGTTGAACATAGTTACGAAAACTGGTCCCTTTTGTTCAATGCACCAGAGTTGTATGTACACTACTAAACCAGACATCACTATGCCCCCATACAGAGTAGACCAGAAATCAATGTTGAAACCCATGGTCCAAGCTGTTCGTTTGTGTTGTACAATTACTGTATAGAAAGCTGATTGTGCTGCACCAACAAAACTCATCCATGTAGTCAGTGATAGTTGTGTTGGATATCTTTTCAAAGTGTAAGCCTGCATGATGTACCATATTGACCACGTAATGCAGCTAACAGCAGTGAGGATCATGCCTTTTGACCAGTTCTCGTGGACAACACCATTCCCTCTGTGAATGTAGATGAGAGGATGTCCTAAGCTTTTCACAACAGGTCCTTTGTATAATGTCATGCTCATAACCCCAGCCAAGGAAACCAAGGTTCCTAGGACTTTTGCTATTCCTCTAGGATTTCGAATGTAAGCATCTTCCAACCTGAGAATAACTGCTAGTACAAATGATAAGGCAGCTATAGTGTTGACCATCGAGGCAAGAAGAGTCGGAGAAGTGTAGCTCAAGCTCGCAAAGTACATGTTCAGTGTCAAACTCACTCCCAGTAGAGAGAGTACAAATCACCCCACCTTACATGTTCTTCATCACCATTGTTGAACCACCACTAGTCCACTACCATAGCAGCCAATGTCTTCACCCATCTTTTAATACTTTCTCATTGTTTGTCACACTATTTACTCACAATTCTTAACACTGTAAATCACCATTGAAATCACAAGCATTAAAATTATTATATTACTCATATAGTGAATAAAATTAAATCGTCTTTAATCTCTCTACTCTAATAAAATTCACCAACCTTCAGATATTATCTGTAATCTCTATTATTTTTCGATGAAGAATTCAAACTACACCCAATAACGATTTTAGGAACTTGAGCAGCAACCACCAATCGATTATGCTCAACCCTGATAATCCAAATTATTTCCTCAAGTTTAAAAGGCATAAATCCTACACTATTTAAAGAAGGATTCAAAAGGGCGTAGTCGTACTCAAGTCTAAGACGATTAGCAAGAACTTCGAACTTAAAATTGGTACCAAGATTGCAGAATTTGGGTGGGAGAGGTGAAGAGGTTGATCAAAATGACTTGATAAAATTTTTGTTGTGATGGTGATGTTGTTGATTAATATTGTTGATTTCTTTTACTCGAAAAAGAGATGATAAGTGTTGATATAAATCTTGAATTGAGATCTAATTTGTGGGTTATGGAAGACGAGGGTGGGGGTGGGGGTGGGGTGTCTAGGGAGAAATGGGGTGGAGGGAGATAAAGGTTTAGGGGAGTTTACAGTGAAAAGAAATAAAAACATGTCTTAACATTTGGAGAAGAGAAGAGTAAAGATGATGTTGTTGGCAATGAAGAAGAACAACAACATTTACTTTTAAAAAAATAATAATAATGATATTTGACAGTTGTAGCGCGTGTGCACACCACATACAAAGAATGTGGTTATCTAGTTTTAGGGTGGTATATATTTCTCTTTAAAGTAGTTCAAGGGGGTAATAGGACTCTCATAAAATATAAGTGTGTAGTTGAGAATTGGTTATAGATTGAGTGGGGATTTGGCCATTTTCTCGGCTAGATTACTTTAGTGCTAGGTGGAGGATATAAACTCTATTTGCATCTCTATCATTGTATTTTTTTTGTTATGGAATAAGTAATTCACAATAATTCACAATTTTTTAATGTAAACTGAGGTAGAAAATTTTTGTTTCGCTTTTTCTTTGTCTTTAACGATTCGCAAGTTTCCTCGCAAAGCACAAATTGATGTTAAGGAATAAAGTCCCACATCTGGTTAGAAAGCAGAATGTTCTATCAAAACAAATGTTAGAATCTTCTTTTACACCTATAATGGTCCAACGTCTCAAAATTCATCTTATAAACATCAACAAAATAAGCATTCAAGAATTTTCTACAAACTAATATTTGGAAGAGGAGCAGTGATTCGGGCCAAATTTCAAATACAAGTCTCAAATCTTAACTTCAAGATCAAACTTCGAGATCAAGGTACACACCATAAAAGGGTGATGTGATAATCGAAGATCCAAAGTGAAGATATAAAGGAAGACTTTATAGTACATATATGATTTTGTATTTTCCTTTCTCTTTTCTCGTATTTTTCAATATTATGATGTAAGAACAGGTAGCCACAAATCCAAATTTCGACAGAACCTCACTTGACTCTCCAACTCATCATTCTATCCACTTGAACTATACATGACCTGATTCATTTATAGTAAGGATATGTCAGTTATCCAAACCTAGGACTCAGTGAAACCTCTTTATCTTTTATTTATTTTCCTATTTGAATAAATGATACAATCACAAAACCAGTCACTCGTTTACTTCTTTGCTAGAAAACTCTTCATGATTTCAAGAAAAGAGGGATATAATGTGACAACAAACTTTTCACCCAACTCAAGGTTTTACACTTAGGGCCTGTTTGGGAAGTCACTATGGTAATTGGATTTGGAGTAATTGGGTGTAATTACACTATCTGGCCTGCTTGGTTGGCCAGATAATTACTTGGTCAGCACGTTATTGAGTGTAATTGGCAGGGTGTAAGTACACTCTCAATTTCCAGGGAGGGCTTGTAACTCTTTATATTCTAAGAGATATGATTGTTTGAAGTTGACCCAAAGAGAATCTTACATCAAAACTTGATCGGTAAGGAAACTTTCAACTCAACTTTGTGCTAGGAGTTTCTAGTGACCTTAATTGATATCCAAAAGCATTCCCACACTAAAGAATTTACCTTTACATATATGGGAAATTTAAGAATCATTCAGCATGACCTTTACGTAAATGAAGAATAGTTCGAGTCTTAGCTTAGAAATTTTCGGGGTGTTATAGTAATGTTTTCAAGTATTAAATTTTGAATTCAAACCTTATTTTTGAAATTTGAGTTTTGAGTTGATTGACTCATTTTTTGAAGTAAATTATGTGGGTATTGTTATTTTTGGAGATTTATTGTGAATACTGGATTGATATATATTGTGTGTGTTTGGAAGTATTCGAAAGGGGAAGACTCAACTCTTGTAGTGATTATTGATTAATTTAAGGGAAGTGATCTCGTAAACCTTGTATTCTAGTAGAATTTGTGTATTCCCTTCGTTGTTTGTATGTTGGGAGTAATGGGAATGAGGTGAAAGGTTAATTTTCCACTTGATAAATCTTAATAAATAAAAAGGGGTTGAAATTGAAAAGGTTATGTGATGAACATGATAATATGAATTGCCTTATTTTGACCCTTATTGATTGATTGATGAAATGTGTGATAGCATGAATATGGACTTGAATTGTATGAATTGTTGTCTCTTCCATGTGGTGTGATATTTCTGGTGTGCTTTGATTGTTGAACACCATGATGAAACATGTGATAGTGTTATGATGCCGAGGTCTTTGCCAGAGATTTGATATAAAGTCGATGGGAAACGGTTTCGTCTAGTGATTAGATATAAAGCCGATGAGAAATGATTTCGGCTAGTAGTTTGATATAAATCCGATGAGAAATGGTTTTGGCTAGTGATATTGTGACGATGGGGAAATATTTGATACTTGTGATTAGGTGCATTTTGATGCATATATGTGACTCTTTTTTTAATTGTGAGTTATGTGCTTGTTATGTGTGCTTGGTTTGTGTGGTTGTTGATATGTGACTATTGAACTGCGAATATGGGGCCTTGTGAGCCGTGTATTATAGAATTGTTAGGTTGGATTGATTTATGTATTGGTTGTAGTTTGAGGAGGTTCGATTGGTTGGAGTGTAAGGGGTAATCGATTTCTAGATAGATGTCTTGTTTATTAGGTTGCTTGTTGGGTACCGTGTTGTTGGTACTCACTCTTTTCTTCTACATTTGTATAGGTTTCAAACCCGGACCCGTGTGATCTCTTTCCCCTTCTTTTGATTTTGAGGCTTGTCAAGGATTTGAATAAGAGGTAGCTTCTTTTCATTTCGACATGCCTTCTTTTTCCTTTTCTTTATACTTTGTTCTATTTGAGAAACAAAGATTGAGACTTGTACTTATTTCTTAATTCCGCACTTTATGTATTTAGTGGTTTGTACACCTGACAATCAGATTTTGGGGGTTTTAATAGAAGAATATATTTTTCCACTTTATTTTGTTCTTGCTTTATATTTTTTTGCAATTATTTCATTTTTCGTTGGGTTGAGGCTGATTTGTCTTGGTCAAAATAAACAAGTGTCATCACGTCCATATTTTGGTCGTGACACCTTGTCTTGTTTTTCCTTTACTTCCACCACTAGGTATAATCCAGCCCCTTTTAGCGCAAGAACACCACTTTCATCTGAGTCTACTAGGCAAATTCCCAACCGTGCAAGTCTATGCACTTCCTTAGCCAACTCTTTCTTTCTTTCCTCAACATGAGCGATACTCTTATGAATAACATGCTAAGAGCATCAACAACATTAGACTTGGGTGATAAAGAATACTCTTATCATAGACATTAAGAAGTTCGAGTCATCTTCTCTGTCTAAGGTTCACCTCCATATTGAAGACTCGTGTGGTCGGTAAATACATCTATATGCACACCATAGAGATAATGACGTCATATCTTTAGAGAAAATACCACTACCGCCAACTCGACATCATGAGTTGGATAATTCCTCTCGTGGATTTTAAGTTGTATAGAGGCTTAGGCTATAACCTTACCATTCTGCATCACCACACAACCAAGTCCAACTATAGACGCATCGCAGTATACAACAAAACCTTATATGTCCTATAGTATGGTCAACAATGGAGCAGTAGTCAATCGAGTTTTTAATTCCTGAAATCTTTTCTAACAAGCCCTAGACTATTGAAATTTAGCTTTCTTTTAGGTCAACTTAGTCAATGGGGATGAAATGGATGAAAACCCTTCTACAAAACTTCTATTATAACAGTCAAACCCAAGTAACTCCTTATGTCAGTTGGGGATATGGGTCTGGGCTAATTCTTCACTGCCTCTATTTTCTACGAATCAACTCGGATACCTTCATCAGACACAATATGAACTAAGAATGCCACAGATTCTAGCAAGAACTCACAACTTCAAAAAAATTGGCAAATAACTCATGGTCCTTGAGAGTCTCGAGGACTATTATGAGATGGCCAGCATTATACTCCTTATTTCTATAGTAGATCAAAATGTTATCGATGAATAGGATAACAAACATATCCAGATACTGCTTAATACTCTACTGATGAAATCTATGAATCATGTAGGAGCGTTAGTCAAACTAAATGACATGACAAGAAACCATAATGACCATAACGGGTCCTGAAGGTTGTCTTCGGGATGTGACTATCTCTCACTTTTAATTGATGATAGTCGGATTTGAGGTCAATCATAGAGAAACAAGTGGCACCCTGAAGTTTGTTGATCGATTCTAGGGAGAGGGTACTTCTTCTTTATGGTGATCTTATTCAACTAACGATAATCGATACACATCCTAAGGGAACCATCTTTCATTCGCACGAAAAGAACTGGAGCACCCAAGGTGAGATACATGGTCAGATGAAACCCTTATCAAGGAGATCTTTTAACTACTTTTTTAAGTCTTTCAACTCAGTTGGAGCCATTCTATATGGAGGAATAGAGATGGGTTGAGTATCGTGGAGGATGTCAATTCCAAAGTCTATCTCCCGATTGGGAGGGACTAGGAAGATCATTGGGAAATACTTCTGGGAACTCATTCACAACTGGAACTCACTGTAGGGGTGGTGTGTCAACACTAGAGTCTTTAAATCTGACTATGTGATAGAAGCACCCCTTGGAGAATAACTTTCTAGACTTAAGGTATGAAATGAACGACCCTTAGGCCCTGTTGGACTACCTTTCCACACTAAGACTAGCTCATCAGGAAACTGAAACTGGAGTACTCGAGTTCTACAATCGATTGAGTCATAGTAGGCATATAACCAATCCATACATAGAATAATGTCAAAATCTACCATATCTAATTCGACGAAGTCATCTATGGTTTCTTTATGATGGAGAGAGATGGTGCAATTTATATAGACTCTCTTTACTAGAATAGACTCACCGACAAGATTACAAACATTGATAGGCTTTAGAAGTCATTCGTGACAAGTCCCAAACGCATGGCTACATATGGAGTTTGATACGCTCAAATTACACTTCCCTAAAGAAGCATAAGTGATCGTTATCAAGTAAAGAACCCAACTTGTAGGTTGGGGTCGATCCCACGAGGAAAATGGTTTAGACTTAACTTTAACCAACAATTATATTCGTTTAGTCAAATTACTTCCAGAAACAAGTAATTAAAGGGGGGGGG